TGCCCTAATACCAAGGCTACATTCCTAAACCACCTACTTTGCATGCCTTGTAAACAGCTTTTCCCTGGCTTAGCAGGACCATGGCCTTGCATGCACCTAACTTTTTGCAGTGTGGCAGGAGAAGCTCAACAAGCTCTCTATGTGTCTTTGTTGTATGGCTGGCTTGGCTCTGTGTCACTGCCACCACCAGCCTCTTGTTTTTGCCTGGGCCAGGCTGGTGCTGTATGTAGGATTGCACCTTGCCCCCACCAATTGACAAAGAGTCTTGGTGGATCAGATCTTTCTCAGGGCATGCACCCTTTGGCTCCAGCTTTGCAGATGGCTTCTTCTTAGGCAAGCAAGCAGACTCCTTTGGCTCCAGGTCTGCAGATGGTCTTTTCATTGCACCAGCCCTCCAAGTTTTCTTCAGCACAGGTGGTGGGCTCCCTTCCAATGCAGCCTTTGCAAGGCTTGCGCATTCCTCTTCTTCATCTTCTCCACCATCCACCAATTCTTCATAACCACTTTCATCTCCATCATGGCATTTTGGACTTGTGGCCACCATCATAGGGAACCCCAGAGAATCCACAGTCACATCTGACTTGTGAACCTTCAGGGTCTTTCCTGGGCTTGTCGCCTTTTTCCTCAGCACCTCCATCACTTTGGCTTGGCTGTCATCCAGCCTTGACGTGAACTTCTCCCAAGCTTTGTCACTGGCAGTGACTCTTCTCCAATGGCTGAGAATCACTCCAACACAATCTGCTGCCCTTCCAGCCAGCAAGCCCTTTTCTCCCTTCAGGTGGTTTGAAAAGAGCTCTGCCCCCCAGGTCTGCATCAACACTATGAAGGACTGCTTGAGGTAGCTGTACTTCACCTTTGCACTTGGGGAGGCATCAAGGAGCACAGATATAAGCTGGTTCAGCTTGAACAATGACTTTGGACATTCTGCTTGTTGAGGCTCTAGGCGGAGGTAATCGAAGAAGTTCATGGCCTCACTGCAGCCAAGGGTTCTGGTGTAGCCTTGCAGCAGGTCATCTAACCTTTCTTGGCTCAGATCCGGAAAAGCTTTGCTCTTGGGTGGGCACTTGTTGCCACCACCTTTTCTCCTTTTCCTCTGATTCCTCTGGGGCTTCATCGTTGGAAGAGCCCTTGTGCAAGACTCTGGTTTGAGAGAGCCCTTTGCAAGGCCCCTACTTTGACCAAATTTGTCACAGGCCCTTGGGCAAAGCTCAGCTGCATGCAAGGTAATTGTGCATGTTCCAATTGAAGGTCACACAGAAAGCTCTTATAACTCAAATGAATCTTAGTGGCTTGTGTTTCAGTGCATATTTTGACATGGATGGTGGCAAAGATGGTGTGCTGGCCTGGCAAATTGCCCAGGGCACCTGGAGACCTGCTGTGGGCCTGAAAGGCAAGGTTTAAGATTTTACCAGAGCCCTTTGGCAAGACCATCCCTACACTATAGAGCCCTTTGGCAAGGCCCACATCCCTTTAGAGCCCTTTGGCAAGGCCCAATGGCAAAGCCATCACCTCCACAGCCTGAAACCATTTTGCTGAAAGCCTGAGCGCCAACTCCTCCCACACCTGTAGCAGTTCACTTGCCACTGCCCCATGTTGTAGGTGCCAAGCCTTTTTGCCCACACCCACCCATCACAGTGTGGATCTGCACACACCACACAGTGCCAGAACAGTGGTGCAAAATCTGTGAGGTGGTCCAAGGGGTCCAGCTCCACCTCCATGGCCACAGACCAGCCCTTTGACAAGGCCAAACTCTGGCAAGAGTTGACAGCTGGAGCCAAAATTTGTTGCCATGCAAAGGCTGGGCTGAAGCACCAAACACTGCACACAGACAGCAGAGATGAAGCCACTGTTGTCTTTCATAACTTACTGCAACAACCAGCAGGGGTTATTGAAACAGCCTGTGCCAATATATATATATATATATGTAAAAATAGCTAATTATGTTGTTGAACTGTTTATTGAAACAAACCAATAGGCTTATTGAAATAGATTGGAAAAGTTATTGAAACATACCAATAACTTTATTGAAACAAACCAATAATATTATTGAAACAGAAACCAATAAGGTTATTGGTTTTTTCAATAAAAACAAGGTTTCAATAATGGCATTGAAAATCAATAACTTTATTGAATCTTTTCAATAGGGTACGGCCAAGAGCCACGGCAATACCCTGGTAGGACTGAAGCTTGACAAATCTAAGTGCTTCGATAGAATCATTCCATCCATTGCCGGTGCCTTGATGATGGCCTTTGGTGCGCCTCGTGGGGTTGTTCACTTCTTCATCCAGATGTACACCAACCTTAAAAGACACTTGGCTCTGAGAGGGTGGATTTCTCCCCTTGCCACTACTGCAAGTAACGGTGTTGCGCAGGGTTGCTCATTCTCATTGATTGCCGCCAATCTGATCATGGCTGTATGGGCCATCTTCATGAACCTCATCCCACAAGTTACCGCAAAAGCATTTATTGACGATGCTTACCTTTGGGCCTCCATTTGCAATCTCGATAATTTGCTCCAGGCATACACGGCCACAAACTTTTGGGATTCCATGGTTGGTCAGACTTCTAACCCAGCCAAGTGCCAATTGTGGGTTTCCGACATAAAATCTAAGCCCAAAGCTCATTCGAGTTTTCCCAATATTCCTGTTGCTGACACTATCGATGTTCTGGGCATCAAGATTTATACCCACTCGTCTAAGAGCTATGACTTTGACAAAAAGAAGACAGGGAAAATCATTGATGACATTCGCAATATTGATGCTTTGCCCATTCCCACACAAGCCAAGCTCACGTTGATTTGCTCAAAGGTGGTTCCCCAAGTCACTTATGGTGCGGCCATCACCAAAATTCCCCAACACGTGATTTGGAAAACACAAAATGAGATTGTCAATGTTCTGTGGGCAAATCGTCCACATTGGAGATCGAGAATGCTTGTTCTTGGGTTATTGGGTCAACTGCATCGATGTGAGCCTCGGATGGCAAGAGCATACAATGCCATCCTGGATTTTGTCAGATTTCTACACCAGCATTCGTCTTTCATTGCGGTCTGCCGTGCGCTTCAGGCATCCACACCATGGCCGGCAGAGTCTTTGTTGTGGCAGTTGCAGCACTGTCTTGGCATCCTAGGATTGAAACTTGTTGATGATTTGAGTGTTTCTTTTCGTGGGGCTGAGCCAATCCCTTTGTATGCCTTAAACCATAAAGACTTTGCCAAACCCTTGCAATATTTTGCTCAGCAAAAGTGTTATACCGAAGCTGTTTCAAACAACCGTAAAGACATTGTCAAGTGTCATGGGATCCTTGATCCTGACCTGTCTTCCCTCTTTCTACGCAAGTCCAAGCTGCATTTCGGTTCTCCCTTTCCCATCAAAGCTTTCTTTGATTCTGTACGGGTTGGGTGTCAGCTCACGAATGATCGATTGTTTCGTGCAGGTTTGGTTGACAGCCCCAAATGCCGCCTGTGTAATGCCCCCAAGGAATCATGGGAGCATCTCGTGCATGAATGCACGGGGGTGTCGAGTGTCCTTCCGCGACCACCAGATCATGAGTTTGGGGCCAACTTTGCACAGTTTGGCCTCTATGCACATCCAAGGGAAGTTGTGATGCAGCGCCTCCGGGTGTCTTCCACTGGTGAGACCTCCCAGCTCTTTGATCCACAGTACAGAGACATTGTTTGGACTGATGGATCCGTGCAGTGGAATACCTATTTCTGGCTTGCTTCAGGAGCGTATGCGATTGTTGCTGAGAATGCAGAAGTTTTGGAGTGTGGGCCAGTACGACATTGGGAATTGTGTGCCTACACTACCGAACTCTTCGCGATTGTCCGTGCTATTAAAAGAGCAACCGGCCGTCTCCTGATTCGCTCCGACTGCCTCTCTGTTGTTGAACAATTTCAAGATCTACTCACTTTCGTTGAGGTGCCCAACCACTGGGCCCACCGGCCGTGGTGGAATGAGATTCTTGAGATTGTGCAAGTTCGACGCCGTCAACATTTGCATCCAGTCATTGTCGAATGGATTCCCAGCCATGTTCTTGAAGATGTGCCGGTGCATCTCGTGACGGAGAGCTTGGCTCAGCAGCATGGGTCAACATATCTTGATGTCGTCAACAACAGGCGGGCAGATTGTAGTGCAAAAGCTGAAGCGGTGAAATGCTCTGCCATTCATCCACAAGACCAGAGATTGCTTGAGAATGCGATCCTTCACAGGCAAGAATGGCTAGTCATTGTCAGTCACATGCTTGAAGTTCACAAGCCGGTACAACATGCTGCAGTTGCACAACCTGTTGTTGACAATCCTGCCAGCTGTCTTTACCGCTTTCCCTTATGGCCATGGAATGCGGTTGTGGAAAACTATACATGGAAACCCAAGATTCCCAAATTTTTGCCGGTGCCGCACAAGTGGCCCCATGAGCTTGAAGATTGGAAATATTTTAGAGAGTTTTTCATGCAACTTCATTGGCGCATTGATGACAACTTCAGTGTTTCGGTTGTTGAGCTGGCTTGCATCTTTTGGTGGAGGGGCTTCAAGCATTCCCAACTTGAGGCGTCGATCAGTTTGTACATGCATTTGATCACCACCTTCCGTGCGATGCTTAAGCACTTGCAGCCGTCTGATTTGTGTCAGCCTTTCCCTTGTGGCGTCGACACTAAGAGGAACAAGAGCTGTGGTCGAGAGCTTCCTAAAGGAATTTTCCATGGCGTTGATGTTCTGATGTCTGACGACGAACGGTTCCGGCTGATTCACATCTTTGATGAAGGCGCTGGCCGTGCTCTGTCGTCATGGGATGGCCTACTTCCTGTGCAATAATTCGGTGCATCCATTTATGGTTCACACTTGCCGTGCTCCAGAGAGGGTGCGGTTGCGCGCGACATCCGACTCGTGTGCGATGGTGACAATTGACCCCCCTGGCACCACCCCAATTGATCGGCATATATGGCCGTCCCATGGAGTGTATGGCTATTGGGGAAGAATCGACCCTGTTTTTTTCAGCCACGCGACATCGTCCTTCTCGACTTTCGCTGTAAGCTCCTACACATCGCTGGAAATTGTCGTTGTCCCGAGCCAATGCACAACATGATCCTTTTTAAGGCGCCAATCAGTTCTTTACACACCTTTGCACCAAAAGCCCAATATAGTCTATATAGTCCAATAGCATCCAATAGCTAATTGCTTTAGCGCTGGTTTCCTTTATAGCTCACACCCGGCGTTTCGCATCACCAAACCGGGCGTCCTTGAGCTGGCTCACATAGCGAAGGATGTTTGGAACCAGACGGTTCCAGATCCGTCCCACAGCCGCCTGGGCAGGGTTGCGTGGTGTGTTTTCCAATCACGTGCACCAATTCTCAATGACCCAATAACTGGAGAAGCAGGCAACATGAGAGAATATGTGAAATGCTGTGCGCACGCCAACACGTCAGAACATCCAAACCTGGCTTCGGCTGAGACTTCTCCGAATCTCTTTCCACTGCTGAGACACTCCATGGGACTGCCATATATGTCTACATTGACCCCCAAACCCACCCGCAATGTACGCGTTTATGGCAGTCCCATGTGTGGTGTCTGAGACACCCCCAAACGATCTTCACCCGAGCGCTCCGAAAAAAACCCAAGCGCTCCGAGTGTACGAGCCACGCGAAAACGAGAGAAAGGTGCTCCGATCCTTTGGCCACGACTGCTGCACTTCTTCTTTCACGAGATCAAACTCGTTCGAAAGAAATGACTTCCTCCTGGGACCGGTCCGGACGCGCGCGGAGGCGGAAGGGTCGGAGAGTATTCTTCGAACGCGCCATGACATCGGAAACCCTTTTGGTGGAACGTCGTCGATGAAATGGGGAGGGAAGCCGGATCCGAAAACACCGTCACCTATGGGATCTTCTTTTTGATGAAACCATATATGTGATGTGAGGCAAGGTTCCAGGGTTGCTGTGCACTGCCCATCCTTGTGAGTTCCGCAGTTCCAAGGCCATCCCTTCGTGATCTGGTATACGCACTGTCCTACTTGGCATCATTGGACCAGCCCACCGAACTGGAGGGCTTTCACCCTGCAGTGCGCAAGGGTTTGGACCCTCAAAACCTTCACCTTTGAAGGGTTCTCGATTCTTATAGGGTGAATGGATGAGTTCCGATCCCTACGTTCATCCAGTCTGACCCAGTAAAACCTGGTCGACTTGATCTCCTTCTATAAGAATTGGAAACCTGCGTGACCATCTCCAGTAAAATACCCTGATCACTGGGTCATGGGTTTTGATCGAGTTGATCTCCAGATAGATCCTTGGTTTTGACCATGGAAGGTCGGCCATGGCCAACACACTTCCTGTATGATCACCTGGTTTTGTATGACCATCCCCAGTCCCATACACTCCATTATATGCAATATCTGCCGATCAATTGGGGTGGTTTGCGGGGTCAATGTAGGCATATATATGGCAGTCCCATGGAGTGTATGGGAGTAGTTCATGAGGGTCTTTTGACTTGTAGGGCATGGTCCAAAGGTGTTTGATGGACCTTCTTAAGGTAGCTGTAAATTACAGGTCTTCCTTCAAAGAACGGTTTCATACGGTTTCTATTCTACTTAGCGGATTCAAATAATAACTATAACAAATACCCCCCCAAAAAATATAACGTCAAATGACTGCAGGTGAGCTGGGGTGCAGGCTGTCTCGTCAGGAGCGCGCGTTGGCTCCAATCCGACCTGGGTGCCGCGAAGTTCGGCGCGTCCCGCGTCCGGCGCTCCCCATGATCTGGTGAATCACAGCGAGACGTGTGACGTGCGACCCTCAAATTGAAGACGTACATTGACATTGTTCCTTTTGCTATGGCTCCAAGTACCTTCTGAGAAGGTGTTTGGGGTGGGTTTCGAGGGTCCAGTCATACCTTCTGAGGAGGTACTTGGAGCCCTAGGTTTTTGTGTGAAGCAAACGGTCACCCCCCACCGTTTTTTTTGAATAGCTCATCAGAAAAGGGGCAAGACATGGAGAATTTGCTGCTTCTCGGTACCTCAGTTGGCGCCAACAATCCAACGATGCTGCAATCCGTGTCATACGGCATTCAAAGTGACGCACTGTGCAAACCAGGGTCGTTTACAGTGGTTCCAGAGTAGATGGCGCTGGCGCCCCAAGAAGTCTTGTACAATCTTTTTTTTGTGGGGGTCCATATACACCACCTTTTGAGGATTGTGTCATCTACTCTGAAACCACTGTAGTAATGGACGGTCTTGGCCATCATGTGCTGCCACCTCCCCCCCTTGTCATTTGATTGTCTTTGTCCTCTTCAATATACCAACAATTGCAGGTGGCAATCAAAGCTGCTCACAACTCAATCTTGTAAGATCAGAATCTGAATTGCTGATCGAGGTACTGGCGCGCATCCTCATCACTCGTTGAATGAGCTTCGCCCTCCGAAATGCAGCGCTGTCCTGACGGCAAAGATGGTGGCAGAGCTTCGGTGGATCCCACGTCCACTCCATTTCCCAGAGGCGGTAGGAGTTCGCGTCCAGAAATTGGACCCTCACAACGAACGGGTGACATGGACCAAACCAACATGTAGCAATTGGTTCGGGTCCAGGGTTGCCTGAGAGTGATGTGGAACGGCCAAAACGTCTTGGCCGTCCCAAACGGGTCGCGTCTCTGATGGAACGGGTCGCGTGGAAACGGCGAAGGCTGTCGGTCCGGATGAGATGCTCCGGGGGCACCGGACCTGACCGATGTCACCCGGTGTCACCCGGGGCGACCCATCAACGACCCCCTCCGACCGATCGGAGTTCGATCGGACGCGTCGCCTGGATCTGCAGGAACTGCAGGAAGCAGTTCTGCAGAAGCGGCTGGACGTGGGGGATCTCCCCCTCCTTGGTTCGCTCGATCGCGCGCGGCCCCGAACGAGTTCCGGGTGGCCCCGAGGTCCGAAGAGTGGATCTAGACCTAAAGACTCGGAACTGGCCGAACTGGCATGGCACCCCAATGTGGAGTGTCTATGAAAAAGCATGTCTCCTATAGCGAGTGTCCGAAGGTTTTTGTGGGCACTCTGCATGGGGTGTCCCTACGCACTCCCAGAGCGCTCGAAATAGACCAACAGGATTTACGGGGCAAATTCCGTCCAAGACAGCTGGAAGGCTTGTGTAGCCTTTTTGGGAAGGACACATCAATTGGGAAGCCTTCTGGAAAAGAAACCTATGAACGATAGCCATATAGCTGTCGTAGCCTGGTAGCCCAAAAGCGCCAATTGGCGCATGAAGCATGCGCTTCTTTTTTAGCGCCCCCCCCCGAAACCCACATGGCATGGCCCCATGGCCCCATCCCCTCCCCCCTCGCATGACCATCCCCACCGTTGTTCCACCGGTCGTTGTTCACTCCAGCGGACAGATGCGGTGGCTGATGCGGTGGCTGAGCGAACTGAGCGTGTTGACTTCTTCGGGTGGTTTCCGGGTGGGGTGGCGCACGACACGAACCGCCCGGAAGGATCATCCAAGTGGCCACCAGCTGTTTGAGGGCCTGAAGTCGGGGCAGGCGAAGGAGGGAGGGAGAGGGAGAGGGAGACCTAGCTAGCTTAGCTAGCTGGCCGGCTTAGCTGAACAGCCCAGGAGGCTTCAGGTCTCTTCATTATAGTGCTCACGACTCATGTGGTGTTTTAAACAGGCGCCAGTCACACCCGGAAACGAATCCGGGCCAACCGGGCAAACCGGGGTCCATGAGCATGGTCTCCTGTTTACCGCCCCATTGGTGTGGTTTGAAGGGGTCAATGTATATACCTGGAAAGGCGTATGAACCCTTTGTTTTTGTGCGAAGGCCGTATTTGGACAGAATTTATCGTATGGACATGTTGATTAACGAATTAGCAACAATACCGTACAAAAGCGTACCCATATGAAACCCAAACTTTATCAACAATTTATCGACAAAAACCCAAACAAATCCAAACAATATTATTGATAAAACCCAATCAAACCCAATATTCGGAGGAATTCCAGAAAATTTGTCCATTTGACAAAAAAGGCGGGATGCACAGATTTTTTGTGCGAACGTGTTTGAACAAAAAAAATGCACATTTGGATTCCCTGGTAGGTTATATATATGACAAACATGGAGTGTCTGGAAATGTAATGATGCAAAACCCAAACGCGACCCTGGACCCTCCGTTCAGTAGGGGCCGGACCTTCTCACCAATCCCTATATAGGGTTTGCTTCGGGACGAGTCAAGCTGTGAACGGAGCGTCGACGAGGAACCTGTTCCTCTCAACGGGGTTTCGGAGATGACCGCGTTCCGAACGGGAGCGGTTTACGTGCGGGGGGGAACGCTGGCCTTGTGGTGACCAGGTCTGGTGGAGCATCGCAAGGCCAATTCCACCTGAGTACTCCTTGTAGATGAGTACCCATACACTCCATGGGACTGCAATATATGCCGATCAATTGGGGTGGTTTGGGGGGTCAATTGATCGGCATATATGGCAGTCCCATGGAGTGTATGGGGTATATATTGTGAACTCCCAATTCCGATACAAGTTGCTGCAAGGGAGTTCACAAGGCCTTCACTGTCATGGTCCCTCTGTAGCTCCGGTTCTTTCACACGTGTTTTTGGCACCACGTCCATCTGATTCGGCTTGTGGACTGGCGCGGAGTCCTTCTTCTTTGCTCCGTTTCGAGGAAGCCTCTGCTGGTTTCCTCATCACATTGACCAGGCGTGTGATAGGGAGCCTTCCACACTGCCAGCGAGTTTTGGCATGCTGCGCATAGCGTTGAGTCATCACGTGTTAGAAGGAGCCCCGTGCCAGGGAGAAGGGCGGTCCAAAACCACCCAGTTGTCGCCGTTGAGTCACTGCAAACTCGAACTGGTGACTTATGACACGGAAAAACACGGTCGCTGACCTAGAAAGCGTACATGAAGTTAGCTCCGATACGTGGCCACGACCCAAAGTCAGTCGCAGAAAGCAACGCCCTCTCCGAGTCGCTGTTGAGGTGCGGGGCTGTCGTGCGCGAAAACATCGACGGCCCAAGCGAGTTGGTCACATCGTTCCCTTTGTTGGACATCTGCACGTCTTCATCTGTCGTATCGCCGCGCGTCGTGTGCGAACCGCGGTACGTGCGGGAACTGGGCTCCCCTGGCTTTCCGGCATGAGCCCAAGAGGCGGCTCATGGAAAGCGCTGGGCTACCCAAGCCTTGCAGGTCGTCTAAAGCTGGTCTTGAACGCATCTTTGGAGTGTCATTTCTAGTAGCGTCCTTGCTCCTAGTCGCGATGCCCTTTGTTACCAGTAGCTTCTTGTTCCGAGTAGGGATGGCCTGCAACCTAATAGCGAGGGCCTCCACCCTAGTAGCTTCTATATAGCTACAATTAAAACTATATAGTAAGTGTGTGTTTTTGTGTTGTTGAGTGTTGTTTCTGGGGCGACATTTCTCTTTTTCTGGGCCTCACTGGGAAAAGTTGAGGAACACAAACTCTTTTCATCTCGGGCCGCCCCTGCTGCCCTGCCACGTCGTTTGGGTGCACCGAAACGTTGCGTCGCCAAGTTGCTGTCGAAGAAAATGAACCTGGCAGGTGCGTCGCCAAGTTGTGGTACATGGTACCCAACATTCGTCACACACGGCGCAAAAGAACAGTGCACAAAGTTGGAGTATGTTGGAGTCTGGTCGTTATGTCGGAGTCGGTGAACAGATGCAAAACGCAAAACAATTCCTGGTTGAAAGGTCGTCAAAGCATGTCAAAGCAAAAGAACCATGTCAAAGAGCTAGAAATGAAGATGCAAATGTTGCCGCGCGACCAAAAAAACAGAAGTTGGGCGCACTTCTCCAGAAGCCTTGGGAGCCGCTGGCTCTGCCTGTTCTTGGATCCCTGCAACCGATCTTGGACTGCAGAGTTCCTGCATCGTTCATCGTTCACCCTTTCGATCCCGTTCGAACCCATTCGGAAGAGAGACGTGAGACCCCCCTGTCATGTACAAAGAAGTGAAATTCGTAGATGCCCGGGGCCACGTTCACCGTTCAGAAAGGCTGGCGATCCGGCAGTTGCGCCATCACTGGCATGTTGGGGGGGCCAAGTCAGCGAAAGGACATCCTGTGCACCACAGCAGAAATCAAGCATATTGGTCCTGCACATGGTTGGTTTCCAACATGTCTTTTCCCAAAATGGTGCACTCATCGCAATTCCATGGGGGCCCGCTTCTCAATCTCCATGTATACACAAACACGCAGGAAATCCTGCAGCACACGGACGGACTCCAACGGACTCCAACCCTTCGGTCCAGATGGCCCACACGGAGGTCATCGCCCAATCGCGCAAGGCGATGACCATGGCCTTCCGATCCTCCACTCCTCGGACGACGCGAAGACGGTCGACAGGAGATGGAGACTGCAACACCCCAGAATCACCACACACTACCATACTAGCATGCAGGAGGGTTCTTGCTTCAGTGCAAGTCTTGCAAACTCACGACGAAAAACTCTTCCAAGGAGCCCCAATTGGAGTGCAACAACTCCTCCTCTCCCAAGAGCAACGTCTTGATAGCCCAAATCTGGCCAAGCGTTTGAAGCGTTGTCACTCGAGGTGCGGGTCCTTGCTCCTAGTAGCGATGCCCTTTGCTCCTAGTGGCTTCTTGTTACTACTAGTAAGGCACTTGTTACTAGTAGCGCGGCACTTGTTCCTAGTAGCCTCCTTGCTCCTAGTAGCGATGCCCTTTGCTCCTAGTGGCTTCTTGTTACTACTAGCAAGGCACTTGTTACTAGTAGCGTGGCACTTGTTCCTAGTAGCCTCCT